ACTAATCAATTGCCTACTATATATCTACTTGAAGAACTCCATGACCCAGAAGTTGTCAACAAAGCATTCATATCTAATAATGGCGTTAAAGCAAGATGAAGTAGCCAAATGCATGAACTGTTGCTCATTCCTCTCTTTGCCAGCAGGGCTTTGAGTTGCCATAAGTAAGTAAGTCAAGTTGAGAGATGCTCTTTGTTACAGCAGAAGTATCTGGTGTTGTGAGAAAAACTGCATCTATTACAATCACCTTTCCATCTTCTCGGATTGCACTATAACAGTTCTTTAATAGCTTTAAGCACTTGTTATGAGTCCCACATTGGGGAATTTTACAAGTATTGTGGGGTTTATAAGTTTAAAGGGCTCTCCCTCCTAATAGGCTAGTCTTTTGGGATTGGACTCTCCCCTTGGACTTATGCTCATCACATTGGTGTTTTCATTAACAGTCGGCCAACCGGAAAGGGCTACCTGGGGAGGGTTCTGACCGGTAAGAAGACCGAGTGAAGTGTTGTAGAGTGGAGCTGCCGGGAACATCGGCTCTCGAGGGGTGCTCTATTATGAGTCCCACAGTGGGGAGTCTCACAAGTGTTGTGGGATTTATAAGTTCAAAGGGCTCTCCCTCCCAATAAGCTAGTCTTTTGGGATGGGCTCTCCCTTTGGGTTTATGCTTATCATATTGATGCTTTTATTGAGAGTCGACCAACAGGAAAGGGCTACCTGCGGAGGGTTCTGACTGGTAAGAAGATCGAGTGAAGTGCCGTAGAGTGGAGCCGTCGGGGACATTGGCTCTCGAGAGGGGTGCTCTATTATGAGTCCTATATCAGGGAATCTCACAAATGTTGTGGGGCTTAATAGTTTAAGGAGCTCTCCCTCCCACTAGACTAGTCTTTTGGGATTGGGCTCTCCCCTTAGGCTTATGCTCATCACACTGGTACTTTCATTGAGAGTCGACAACTAGAAAGGGCTACTTGCGGAGGGTTCTGACCGGTGAGAAGACTGAGTAAAGTGCCGTAGAATGGAGCCGCCGGGGACGTCGGCTCTTGAGGGGGTGCTTTGTTATGAGTCCTACATTGGGAGATCTCACAAGTGTTGTGGGGTTTATAAGTTTAAGAGGCTCTCCTCCTAATGGGCTAGTCTTTTGGGATTGGGCTCTCCCCTTGGGCTTATGCTCATCACATTAGTGCTTTCATTGAGAGTCGACCAACCGGAAAGGGTTACCTGCGGAGGGTTCTGACCGGTAAGAAGACCGAGTGAAATGCCGTAGAGCGGAGTCACCAGGGACGTTGGCTCTTGAGAGGGGTGCTTTGTTATGAGTCCCATATCGAGGAATCTCACAAGTATTGCGGGGTTTATAAGTTTAAGGGGCTCTCCCTCCTAATAGGCTAGTCTTTTGGGATTGGGCTTTTTCCTTGGGCTTATGCTCATCACAACACTTCTCATCGTTCCAATTATAAAGTATCTACTACCATTGATGAATCCATAATATCACTAACCCCTCATCCTTAGGGATACTATAGTTTATTAGTAGAGTTAGTTACTAAATTCTTCAATTCCATATAACTCACCTTCATAAAGATGGCGTCCTTTTAGGCATGCTTGCAAACATATCTCCCCCCACCTGTTAGATTTCTGTAACATAAAAATTAAAATTCAATGTTTTAGTACCACATGAAACTCACATATAACTTGATGAGCTCAAAATAAATTACTTTTATATCATTAATGAATGTTTATTTTCTACATATACAGCTACTTTGTCATTAAAATGTATACTTTGAGAATGAACAAGTAAAGAAAGTGAAATGTTAATTATTACTGGGACCCCATTTTGGTTAGCACAAAATCATTCAATATTTTAACCTATAATTAAGCCCTCTCGCACACGAACCAAACCCCTCAAGGCTTCAACATAGTCATTGCTTCTAGGTTCTTCCTGGAAAACTTGAAAGGCAATGTTGTTTGCAGAGAGTTTAGCACGCACCTTCAACTTTTTTGGACATTTCATTGAACATTCTCAGAATACAATGGAGTGTTAAAAAGCTTTCTGGATCTTCTTTATCCTCTTCAAGCTTGTGGTGTCGTATAGGTATTATTACTTTTTTTTTCCAAATATATAATTGTCGAGTAGTCATTTGGTGTTTCGCTTTATTAGAGCAGAAGTGAAAACAAGGCAACATAACTCAAATGAAAATAAGGCAACAGAGACACTCAAGGAGAAGAGTAAGTAACATGTGTATTGATTGTATTTCTATAAATAGTAGTAGCCCAATATATAGAGATTACTATCTAGTACAGGTGTTACACGTGTAAAGCAAAAGTAAAAAAGGAGAGAAGAATTCTACCAGCGTCCCACTCTCCGTTATGGGCTTTGTTTAAATGTTGTGCTTGGTTTGTCTTAGGCTTCAATACCCCCCATGAGTTGAACTGGACTGGAAGGACAGTGAGACTCAAATGCAAGATATTGAACTGAGAGGTAGGAAGAGGCTTGGTTAAGATGGCTGCAATCTGATCTCTGGAAGAGACATGCAGAAGATTGAGAAGATCAAAAGTGAGGCATTCACACACAAAATGATAGTCCAAGGAAATATGTTTGGCCTTGGAGTGAAAAATAGTATTGGCAACAAGGTAGGTGGCACCCAAATTGTCACAGTAGAGAAAAGGTGCATCAGGAAGGTAAATGCCAAGCTCATATAATAGGTTTTGTGGCCAGATAACCTCGCTAGCAGTGGTGGCAATGGCTTTATACTCAGCCTTAATGCTTGAGCGAGCTACAGAGGCTTGTTTTTTTGAACTCTGAGCAATTAGATTAGGACTGAGGTAGACAGCAAAGGCCCCTGTGGATCGGTAATCATCTAGGTTGCCTCCCCAATTAGCATCCGAAAAGGTAGAAAGGGTGAGAGACGGGGAAGACTTGATATGCAGAGCATAATGAAAAGTTCCTCTGAGATAGTGTAAGATGCGTTTGATAGCTGTCCAGTAGTGCTCCTTTGGGTGGTGCATAAATTGACAAACACGGTTGATGGCAAAGGTGATATCTGACCTGGTAAAACTTAAATACTGAAGGCTGCAAACAATACTTCGGTAGTGGTGAGGATTGGGATAATCAGGACTAAGGGAGGCAGTGAGAATAGAACCCGAGGCCATAGGTGTTGACACTAGTTGAGCATTGGACATGTTGGCTTTCTCAAGAAGGTCGAGAATGTATTTTTTTTTTGAGAAAGAATAAGACCAGAGGTGGAAGGAAGAACCTCAATGCCCAAAAAGTAGTGCAATTTATCAAGATTCTTGACAAGAAAAGAGACACCAAGAGCAGTGATCAGATTATTAATAGCATCAGCAGAGGACCCAGTAACAATTATGTCATCAACATAAATTAAAATATAGATAGTGCAATGAGAGTTGTGACAGATGAATAGTAAAGTATTTGATCGAGAAGAGTAGAAACCAAGTTCAGATAGACGAGCACTGCGGCGAGTGAACCAAGCACGAGGGGCTTGTTTGAGGCCATAGATGGCCTTGTGCAGCTTGCAAATGTGGTGTGGAAATTTAGGATGAACAAACCCAGGAGGTTGCTGCATATATACATTCTTAGTAAGGAATCCATGAAGAAAAGCATTTTGAAAATCAATTTGATTTATTGGCCAGCCTTTTGAAACTGCAAGAGCCAGGATGAGCTGAACTGTGATGGGTTTGACAACCAGAGAGAAGGTGCCAGCAAAATCAATCCCTGGTTGTTGGTGAAATCGGTTGAGAACAAGCCGTGCTTTAAGCTTATTAAGAGTCGGGCCTAGCAAATTGGGATATTTTTAAAATTTCAGCCTTGGAGGACTAGCCCTTTTAAGCCCGCCAGCCCTGAAGGGCCGACCCTAATTCCCACCTGTCCGCAAATGAAAATAGCCCAAATATTTAATTATCTAGCAGTTCTTAATTTCATTTTCTTTTGTTAATTATTTATCATATTGCTCCCGTCACTAATCACATCAAGAGACATATTTGTCAAAGAGGTCCGTTAACCATGAAGAATTGGGTCATACATATCCAGATGAAATTAAAGGGAACAGAGCTACAACTGGGAATTAAATTAAAAAAAAAAAATATGATTTAATGATTTAATCGGCCTTAACAATTTGCTCAGAGCCTGGAGATCTGAGTTTGGTTCTTTTGGAAAACACTAGACAATGAAGGTTTAAATGCACTATGCTAATCCAGGGAAATGCTCTATAATATCAAAAGAAGAAGAAGTAAGTTTGTCAAGTTAAGACCTGCCTCAAAATCCTTTTGTTTCTTATTGCTTCTCATGTAACAGATATTGCTGGTCTATCTATTAACTCATCATCTCTGTTCCTTTTTACAGTGTTTCGCTTACAAGAACCTAGTTTCCAAGCCAGACAGGTGAGCCTTATACACAGACTTGAAATTTTGAATTTAATCAATTCATCAAGTTCTGAACAATATTTTTCAAAATCCCATTACTTTGCTTTTAGTCATAACCATGCCATTAATAAGCATGTTTAATGCAATTACAGGGATGCTTTTGTCCGAAAAGTAAAAGAAACATACCACGAAATAACTGGGAGCAGTGCCTAGAGGAGCCATGGACACGAGCAAGGATTGTGGTTGAAGATATGGCACCATTGTTGATAAATGCTTGTGACCATATACTACATTATCCAATGTAATGTTACGTGATTATCTGTACTTAAAATAAACTTCACTTTGATATCATTTCCACCATTATCTCGTACAGTTTTTAAGGGCGGGAAAAATAATAAATTTATGATGCCTGATTCACGGAGTATAAGAAAATTCTCTCCCCTGTATTTGTTTTCTGCGGGTCCTCTCCTCTGTATTTGTTATCTGCAGGCTCGCCTCATGAGGAGATCGCTTCTATTTCATATACATATCCTTTGTCATTCATTCACTGCATTCAGAATTACATTACCTAAGAAAACATATTTAGTCATCATCAAAAGAAACATATTTTCTTATGGAATGTTGTGATGAGAAAAGAATAATTATAGGGTAATCATACCGTACTTCCATATCCAATTTGTATTCTCACACTTCTTCCAAATAACACAGTTGGATTGCAGGATGCAAAATAAATCATCATATTTGATTACCAGGTTAATTATAAAATGCATAATAATACTCTCAGAAAATGGAAATATCTATTTGAAGAATTCCATAATCCAAAAGTTACGAACAAAACATTCATATCTGATGCCACTAAATCCTGCTGCCGTAGCCAATTCCATGAACTCTTGCTCACTTCTCTCTTTGCCACCTGGGTTCTGAGTCATCATCATCACATCAAGTTGGGAAGTGGTCTTTGCAGCAGCAGAAGTCTCTGGTATAATGGGCAAAACTGCGTCCACCACAATCACTTTTCCATCTTCAGGAATGGCATTGTGACAGTTCTTCAACAGCTTCAAGCACCATTCGTCACTCCAATCGTGAAGTATCCACTACAAAGTTTAGCCCAATAAAGCCGAAATTAATTAACCTCTCATTACCATATTGATTATATAACTATCATTACTAATAACCCCACCTTCATGAAGATGGCATCTCCTGGGGGCACGCTTTCAAACATATCTCCTCCCAGATGTTCGACTCCTATAACGTCACAATCATTGATTTAATTCACCGATAATTGTCTTTCTTGTTTCAAGAAAAGCTTACATGAACATTTCAGAGAGTTCCCAATTCAGTGTGCAATGACATACCAGAGTAAGGAGGAGCGTGCTGGATGACATGAGGCAGGTCGAAATTGATTCCTTGAACGTGAGGATATTTAGTAGTGATCAAGCTTAGAGTAACCCCATGACCTCCACCAACGTCAACAAGTCGGGTGATGTCCTCGAAACCTCGGTAGGATTCAAGAATTTTGGTCACAACTAAGGTGGTCTGATTCACCATTGCCTTGTTGAAGACATCGTTAAACCTTGAATCCAATCCCGGATACTCAAAAGCATGTGAGCCATACACCCTATTGAACGCTATGCCTCCTTCACATATTGCATTCTTCAATTCTCGCCTGAAATTTCCATGCTTATCAAGTTTACAGTAATAACTTTATATACACACGCACACTAAAGTCATAACTAATGAATCCAATATTCAATTGCTGACCCAAAAAAAATTCAATTTTTCTTTTCATCTTAACATAACAAGTCCATATATTTTCCTATAATATTATCTCCACCTTTAATAGTTAAATAATTAATTTATAAATATTAAAGAAATTAGTTATTTGCGACGTATTGTGTTTTTAAAAATACCTTTATTAATCATACATATTATTAAAAGGAAAAATCTAAAAAAAAAGCCTTAAAAATTAAAAAGTTGCATACAAGGACCCTTTCATAAAAATTATTGTCATTTGCTTATCAATTATTATCAAAACTTGTATTAATATTATAATGAGTCCCTATTTGTAATATTTTTATTTTTAAGGTCTTTTTTGTGATTTTTTCTTATTAGAATGAAAACCCATTAATATATACAATTATTTTAAGTAATATCAAATTGCATCTCAGACTAAATTTCATATTGAGGGAAAGGACATACTAACCAGCTATCAAGAAAGACCTTATCTTGATTCAACGCAATAAAAGGGCCCAACGACACTCCATCCTCATTTCTCGCAAAGAATTTGGCCACGGGACGGAGGCCGTACACTCGTCGGAAACACCCCGGCCCTCGATCCTCATTGGTGATGACGGAACAGGAAAGAACAGAGTGCGACGCTAGAAGCCAGAGGAGACGATCGAGTGCGGAAGGCGCTTCGGAGTTCTTGAAAGAAAGCTCTGTCGCGATCTCAGCGGCGGAGAGCTTGGCGTCGTGACCAGCTCTATGAATGACGTCGAAGACGCCGAGCTCCACCGCTGTTTGCATCGCCATGGAAATCGCGGAGGAGGTCGCGAGCTGCATGGCGTAGCAGAAACTCTCTTCTTCAACGTCATCTATTATTGGTGATTGGGGATTGCTCTCTTTGTGGTGAAGAGGCTTGGACTGAGACTGAGATTGTGGTGACTGAGCCATCATGAGTTGATAAGTTGAAGGGAGAAATATGTCTGCTTTGATTCAAAAACTTTATGAATCGGCAACGAATAATAATGCTCGGCAAAAGAAAGTGATCACGTGGCCTGTTCATTTTGAAAAGAAAATGAATTGAAGTATGTCCCCACTTTCTTTCTCTGCTATCTTTTTCTCTTGTCGCTTTATAATATATTTTTTTTTGGTCAAAACTTGTCGCTTTATAATTTGAAGATATTGATTGAAGTATGTGCATGTGGCCGAAAATAAAAGAGTATAGCCCACTAGACAACTAGTCCTATATTATGGGATTGTTATCTTGTTAGAAGCTGGTTATAGATATGAGACTTTACTTTATTTAATCTCTATTTATTATTTTTTAAAATTAATTTATTTAACTTATAAGTTAATATATAATCTAATCTTATACATAATAATATTTTAAGAAGATAATCATGTCATGATTGTTAAAATTAAGTAATTTCTTTAACTTCTTTAATCTAATCCATTTAACTTTGTATAAAATTAAATAACTAAAACCATACTCACCCTATATCTCTAATTATAAAACTTAAATATGTAGTATGTATATATATCGAAAAAATTAATTGATGCCCAAAAATTTATTCTTTCGTATTGTCTATTTAAACTTTAAAGGCGTTTAGGGAAAAATATTTAATTATTTTTAAGACCGGGTAGAGATTTTTGCAGGAGATTTGAAATCTCCTTTAAACTTGCGTCTTATCACTAGGGAGAAATTACAGGCAGCATATATTTTTACTGTTGATCAGGATAGAGACTGAACAAGATGGTTGTGGCATTCTGATCAGATGGCACAAAATTCCAAAACCCCACCATGGTTTTGGCTACTTTTACTTTCCCTCTTCCCTTCATTTCTTGCCTTTGTTGGGTGAGACGAATATCCTAATAAATTAATGATTGTAAGCAATTCAGCTGACAGGCAGTGAGCTTGAGAGACCAATCTAGATGACATAGGGGAGAACTGTGAATGCAGTTTAAAATTTTTTAACGACTCTCTCAATATACTGAGAGATTGATGTCAGCCTTCATCTTCATTGAGTTAAGCAGAACCATTTTTATTGAGCAGGTGAATTCATAAATTTTTTAGCTAACCCCTGTTCTATGAACGAATGGCTACTCCTATAAAGCATTGACATATAGAGTGTCTCCCCACTCTCTCACTCATGTGGGCGGCAAGGCCCTCCCTCTTTAACGATCATTAAATTGTACTTTTCTCATTACTTTTTAGAAAGTGTTTTACGGCAAGGGCGGAAGGAGAGGAGTATACTGTATCTATGTTTACTATGAAACTGTTCCACAAGTATTTTCAGAAGAGAGAGAGAGAGGAGAGAGGGGGAAAAGGAAGGGAAATAGAGTGCTGGTGAGGCAATGCTACATGGGACTTAATATAGAGCCAACATTGTTATATTTTCTACACGTGACATTGCTTCTAAGTGAAAACTTCCAAAATAAAATTGCATATTATTCCTAGTTTTTATTATATATATTAGACGCATTGTTTTCTTCAAAATTTGTTGAGTCTGTTGTACTATGAATGATTCATAGCTGTGTGCCTTGTTATTGATTTATATTTTATGGCGACACATGAAATCTTCCAGACTTGTAGATAGAGTGTTTCGTTAGGGATATTATATTTTCAAAAACATTTTAGGTACATGTTAAGTTCTCAAATCATATACGGGTATGTACTTCTTTTTTTGGGTTTCATGTAGGTTTATAATTAAATACTATTACATGTCAATATTTTAAAAATATAACATGTAGTTGCGTGATTGGAGAACTTAACATAATGAATATAAGAAATTTAATGTAAATATTATCTTTATATTTTCTATTTGTAATGACATTTTTTTTTGTTAAAAAAAGAGTACTTTCCAAAAATAAAGTATTTAACTTAATTTTATGAAAAAAAAATTGGGCCCTGTTTGTTTTTTTTTTTACCAGAACAATTTTATAAAATTGTTTTTTCAAAACAGATTTTGAAAACAAAGAATAAAAACATTTGTTTGGATAGTTGTTCTAAAAAATTAAATTTGAGAATAAAGATACTGAGGTTGGAGGGTGAAGCTTCAATAATAATTAAGTCTTCACATGGAGAAATAGCCATTGAGTAGAGAAAAAAAATTCCGAATTTTTTAAACAAAAAATACAAAATACAAAAAAAATTGTTTTGATTTTTTATTTTTTAAAACATATTTTTATTTTTTTTTAAAAACACTTAACTAAAAATAAATTACTAAACAAGTTTTTTATTTTTAAAAACAAAAAACTGTTTTTAAAACAAGAAACCAAACAAAGCTTTAGGGCCTGTTTGTTTTTGTTCTTTGTTTTCTTATTCTCAAAAAAATTTTATAAAATTGTTTTTAAGAACAAGTTTTGGAAACAAAAAACAAAAAAAATTGTTTGGAAAATAATTTTTTAAAAATCATATGTGAAAAAAAATTTAAAAAATTATACTTTGACAAGTGGTAGTTATTACCTGTAATGATAAGTAGTAAGTAGTAGAGAAGAAGATTTCTCCAAATTTTCAAAAAATAAAAATAAAAAAACACAAAAGTAAAAACAAAAAGACATGCAAAAGTTGTTTTGGTTTTCAGTTTTTAAAAATATATTTTTGTTTTTTGGTTTTTAAAACAATCAACTAAAAACAAATTGCCAAACAAGTTTTTTTGTTTTTCTGTTTTTAAAAACAAAAAATTATTTTCAAAACAAGAATCCAAATAAGCCCTTAGTTTTTTTTTTTTTCCGGAGTCAAAGCAAAATCAGAAGTAATCGGTCTGCTGTAGAAAATGAGCATTAACAACACAAATGTAAAAAATTTTAATTTTTAAAAGCTCCGTATGAAATTATTTTACCAAGTAAATTACTTGTCCGTAATTGTGCATTTTATAATGTCTATTAATAAAACAACTTAAAACAACTACTCGTATATGTGTTATTTTACATAGAGTGACCATAAATGAAAATAGGATAATATTAAAATCTCTTGAGAATTTTCTGTGAATAGCACCAACAAATGATTCAGGATTTTCAAATCCAAGAAGTTGTATAGGAGTATAGGAAATCATCTAAGTAAACCATTTTCTTAAAGAGCTAGTCATATGAGAAACAAATTTTGCAACGAGCTGTCTAAGAGTTATCTTTAGTCTTGTCATTTGAAAATTTAGTCATGCTCTAAATTCATGTAAACGATCTCTCCATTTATGAGGAAGAAGGTCATCAAAAGTATTTTTTGTTAATTATTTATCATATGGCTCCCGTCACTGACCGCGTAAATCAATAGAGATATTTGTCAACCAGGGAATTAAAATCCATTAACCATGAAGAACTGGGTCATACATATGTGGATGAAACTAAAAGGATCGGAGCCACAAGTGGGCAATTAAATTAAAAATTTAAAGCTAAAAATATGATTTAATGATTCAATCAGCCTTAAACAAGACGAGGCAAGTTTCCTTGGCGAGGCCTCTGTTCCAGAACTGGTGGTAGTATTCACCGAAGGTGAAATCCCGGCACAGCGCAGGATGATGAGTGTCTATGAGGTCGGGTGTCGGACCAATCACAGCGTCCGGTGATGTGCAATAGAACGTTGGGATAGACATTCTCTCCTTCGCGCAGTTCACGACTGCTCGGTGCAACACACACTTGTACCTGTCGCTGCTTATCGCTTTCACCACATACCAAAACCAAACCTTGCATCAGCTTTTTTGTATTGTCTGATCATAACGTCCTACTATTTACAGCCAGTTTCAAGTTTCGTTTAGCTCAGTTGGAAACTATTAATGGCTATCTCCTAAAACAGGCAATCGATAGGCTTCCTTTGATTCCTGGGATGCTTGAGGTTGTGGGCATTGGTTAGAGCTGGGAATCAGGGCCGATCCTTCAGGGCTGGCGGGCTTAAAAGGGCCGGCCCTCTAGGACTGAAATTTTAAAAATACTCTAATTTGCTAGGCCCGGCCCTTAAGCTGCAGGGCCAGGGTCGGCCCGCGGGCTTTTGGCCCATTTAAGAAAAAATACTATTTCTTATATTTATCATATTTTTTATAAAAATATAAAAATAAACCAATGAAATTATTAATAAAAGACATAAATATGAATAAAATTAAGTCACAAATATAAAATATTATCATATATAAATATTCATCAACATCTAAAACATTCATTAACAAGATAACATCTAAAAGTTTTATCTATAATGCAATTGTATAATAAATAAACACTATCATTAATCTTTTGAAACTTCATCATCACTATAATTAATTACTTTTCTTCATAAGTATGCTTTTCATTCGTAACAAAAATATCAAGTTTTTCTTCTTTATAAGAATTTTATTTTTAAATTTTGCAATCTAACTTTTATTTTACTTTAATGTGAGAAACATTGTTGTTGAAACTCATGAATTTCTAATTCAAATTATAGAATCACAAGTTACATAAGTATAAAAATATTCTATTATCAAATATATATATAGTTTAAAAATATCAACGCATATAATATAAATCAAATCGTTATTAAAGTCCAAATTAACCCATTTTTTAAAAATTTAATTGGATAAATTATTGTCTAAAACTAAATTTAATTTTAAAATGATAATAATAACTAAATATTTGAAATATTATTAACAATGTAAAAAATTAATAACATTAATATTATATAAAAAAATTAAAAAAATAAAAAATTATAAAAGGGCTTAAAAGGGCCAGCCCGCGGCCCTCCAGGGCCGGCCCTTTTAAGCCCTCAGCCCTCCAGGGCTTATTTCTCATTTTAACAGAAAAATATCAAGCCCGGCCCTCATAATTTCAGGGCCTAAACGGGCCGGCCCGATGGGCTCGGCCCGTTTTCCCGGCTCTAGCATTGGCTACGCTGAGGTAAGTTCAATATTCTTCGCTTCTGTTATCACCGTATATCATTCACCCTTCTCAATTAATGCTTATAACAATTTGTTCAGAACCTCGAGATCTAAGTTTGCTTCTTTTGAAAACACTAGGACAGTGAAGCTTTCAATGCACTATGCTAATCCAGGGAAATGCTTTATAATATCAAAAGAAGAAGAAGAAAACCAAACGC